AAAAGAATCCTACCACAGTGATATATGCACACCCATGTTTATAGCGGCACAGTTTGTAGTAGCTAAAACTTGGAAACAGCCCATCTGCCCATCAATTGGAAACTGGATAAAGAAGATGTGGTTTTTCTATAAAATGGAATAGTACTCAGCCATAATGAATAAGAAATTAGAGTCATTCATAGGAAAATGGATACATATTTAGGATATACTCCTAGGTGAAATATATAAGTCACATGTGTAAATACTGAATAGTTTCTCTGTTGTGAAAAACTAATAGTACACAAGATCCTAATGATATAATTGACAATGTGTAATAGGAAGAAAAGGGCTAAAGGTGTATGGAAAGTGGGAAGGGTAGGGTAAAAGTAAGAAGGGAAAAAAAATATGAGAAAATGAAAAAATGGAAATAAAGTATTTGTAAATGGGGAGGGGAGGAGGGGGTGAAGGGAGGGCAGGGATAAAGGGAAAAAATGAGAACCAAGACCTGTCATGTGAAGGTACAGGATCCCAGTAATGAATGTAACTGTATTGTATACCTAGATTGTAGCAAAAAACTCAATACAAAGAAAAAATGTTTCTGCATTGCAAAAGAAACCATCAACAGAACTGAAAGACAACCTACAATGTGGGAAAAAATTTTTGTCAGCTGCTCCTCAGACAAAGGGCTATTATCTAGAATAGATAAAGAACTCAAAACAGCCAGCCCCCCCAAATATAAAGACCTATTTAAAAAAATGGGCATCTGAAATGAACAGACATTTCTGAAAGAAGTAAAAGCAGCAAGTAAATATGTGAAAAAATGTTCCACATCACTGGTCATTCGAGAGACGCAGATGAACACAACACTGAGATTCCACCTCACCCTACAAAGAATGGCTGCTATCAAAAAATTAAACAATAACAAAAGTTGGTGGAGTTGTGGGAAGAAAGGAACCCTTCCCCATTGTTGGTGGGAGTGCATACTGGTGCAACCACTAAAGAATGGCTGATCAAAAAATTAAACAAAAGCAAAAGTTGGTGGAGTTGTGGGAAGAAAGGAACCCTTCCCCATTGTTGGTGGGAGTGCATACTGGTGCAACCACTATGGAAATCAATATGGAGATACCTCTAAGAGCTGGGACGAGAGGTTCCTTTTGATCCAGCCATCCTTCTGCTGGGTATCTTTCTGAAAGAATTAAAAGAATCATCACAGTGATATATGCACAAAGCAAAAGTTGGTGGAGTTGTGGGAAGAAAGGAACCCTTCCCCATTGTTGGTGGGAGTGCATACTGGTGCAACCACTATGGAAATCAATATGGAGATACCTCTAAGAGCTGGGACGAGAGGTTCCTTTTGATCCAGCCATCCTTCTGCTGGGTATCTTTCTGAAAGAATTAAAAGAATCATCACAGTGATATATGCACACTTATTTTTATGGCAGCACAGTTTGTAATAGCTAAAACTTGGAAACAGCTCAATTGCCCATCAGTTGGAGACTGGATAAAGGTGTGGTTTTTCTATAAAATGGAGTACTACTCAGCCATAAAGAATGAAAAATTAGCATCATTCATAGAAAAATGGATGCATATTGCAAAACATTATTTTTAATTATATTTTTATGTGAAAAATAAAATTTTGGTTTATTATGGCCTTACATTCCTATTTTTCAGACAGTCAGCGTCTGCATTTAGATCTGCAAAAAATGGAGCTCCTGGAAAGTAAGATGATAGAGGAACAACATTCTCTGAAAAACAAAATTAAGCAAATGACTGTGGATCTGGAGACATATAATGATTTGCCAACTTTAAAATTATCAGGTGAAGAAAAGAGAAAGGTAAATGCCAACAGTGTTTTACGGAGTTATAATTCCAATCATTTTTTACTCATTGGTTTTAATTTAATGTAGTTGATAATATTTTCAGTCTATTATTTGACACATAAGCTAAGAGAAAAATAAAAATTTTTTACATACATAGTTGGAATTTACAGAGACTTGAAGTATTAAATAAGAGGCAAAAATTAAAAAAAAAAACAGCATATAAGCTACTACTTAATATGGAGCATTTTAACAAATATGAACCTTGTAGTAGATTTGATATATTTCTCTCCTGAAAATGTGTGTCTTTTCATACCATTTGCATTAAAGTAAATTTTGTGGGGGTAAAGACAGACATGGAGGTATTATTATTATTAATACAGTTAATATCCACACAGCTTTTAATGAACTTCAAAGATATTTTTACAAACAACTCTTAGAGTAAATATAGCTGTGGTAGAATTTTATCAGAATACAATTGCTGAAATTATTTAAGCGAAATATGATTTGTATTGGCTTACTACATACTTACTACAGCCTGTTATTTACTTCTATTTGGATCTATCTAGAAATTGCATCAGGATAGAATGATATTATCAACTCGTAAAAATGCCTTTAAGAAAATAACAGAGCAGCTAAATAGAGAATATGAGACCCTGAAAACACAATTACAAGAAAATGAAACACATTCTCAGGTAAAAAAAAAAAAAAAAAAAAAATTTAAATGACTTTGGAATTTTTTTAAGGATATCTATCTTGTTCTCTTAATCTCTTTTTTTCCCCCTAAACAACTGTCTGTCTATCTTTCTATCTATCCATCCATCCCTGCTTTAAACCACCTCAATATTCTGCCTTTCAAAGCATCTAGATTCTTACCATCTTCCCTCAGGATGAATTAAATCTTCTTGCCTCCTTGTCTTTAATAAACCATAAAGATCACTTCTTTTCTGGGCCCTGTTGTTAGTACAGCCATTATGATATACTGGATAATAGCTTGAAAAGATTTCAGAAGTAAAGCACAAACTTCTAATTTTGGATGCAGAAATTTTGAACATCCCTTAAAAGCTACAAATAAAATAAGTCCTAATTACTAATATCCCACCAAGCAACAGAAAGAATTCTTTATCATTTTAGTATGAGTCCTTTTAGTATGTATTTTACATAGACATACGCATTATGTGTACACATACTTCATACTTCATACATATACATAAATATTTTCATGTATTTATAGAAATTATATCATGTAAAAAATATTTGGGAGCTTGTTTTTTTCTTTTAACTATACATTCATTGTTCATTCCTTTGTCACCAGATTTTTTTTTTTTTTTTTGGTACCAGGGATCAAACTTGGGACCTTGCACTTGCAAGGTAGGTGGCAGAACCACTGAACTAAATCCCCAGCCCAAGAGATATTTTTAAACGTATGATTCTTAATAACAATGAATATTATACTACATATATAGAGAGCATAATTTATAGAAACAGTATCCAATTTAGCTAATTTCTGAAGTAAACTGTGATGATGTACCTATAATTCCAGCTCTGAGGAGGGTTAAGGCAGGAGGCTCTTAAGTTTTTCTGCCTGGGCAGTTTAGCAAGACCCTTTATCAAAATAAAAAGAGTTGGGAATATAGAAATCAGTGGTAGAGTACCTGGATTTGATCCCTAGTACCACCAAAAAAATCAAAACAAAATAAAACTGTCCTAATAATGCTATGACAAGCAGTCCTATCCTTGAACTTCTTAGTTTACATTCCAGTTGTTTACTTAGGATGCACAGACAAATAATGACAGCTCATTTTTCATATCACTCATCCTATTGATAGTTACCCAACAGTGTTTAAGATCATCCAGGTTGTGAACTTTGAGAAGACAGAAACAATAGTCTCTTACTCACTTTTTCCCTAACACTGTTATTAGTTTGCACATGGTAGATACTCAATAAGTATTTTTCAAATAAAGCATTATGCATCATATAAAAAATCAGTAATTGAGGTCAGAAAAAGGTTGGTCATTGTCATATCTAATTTGTGTATGTTATCAGTTTACACATACGATTAAAATACTAAACATTAAAAAATGCCTTTTTTTTTTAGTGATATATAGCAAAAAATGTTACTTGATTACCCACTAACCAGAGTCAATCATTATTAACATTTTGGTTTCTAATCCTTGCAGAGTTTTTCTTTGTACTCATACATTCATATAGATTATCTTGTTTTTACAAAAATTTAAATCATTCTATAAACATTTTCTTAAAAATTTTCAGCCTCTTTGATTTTTTTTTTTAAATAACGTTTTAATGGTAATAGGTATTTCATCGCATGGATGTGCCATCCAAAAGAAGGGTGTACTTATAGTCTTCTTGAAAGGAATATAGTCTTATGAGAGTTCACCACAGCTACCAAAAGCTTAGAAATCACTAATTTCCATATTTACATTCACCTGTCAGTTATTCTGTCTCAACTACATAATACACAAACCTAGTTACACTCTTATAAGTAGCACTCTTATAATTATCTTTGGTTTGAGTGGGGATGACACTGGGAGAGAAATAAGTTTGTGAGATCACTCTTTTAAGTGGTTCTTAGACAAAATGTATATTTGATGAAACACTAGCTCTTCTCTTCCACTGATTAGATGATTTAAGGTGGAAAGCACTTGACAAATGCTATTTCTTAAGAGTCAGTCAATGGCTACTCTTTATTTCTATATTAAATGCTAGTCATATCTAGCTCCATTTATTGATAACCAGAAATCTTACCAAAAGCCACAATTTTAAAACCTTTTCTTTATTATTTAATGTCTTTTGTGAATCCCAACTGGTCAAATCAAATCCTATCTCCTCCTAATCTTTTACAACTATTTTCTTAAAAACTGGGTTTGGGCACTTATAACTAATTTTATGTAACAGATTATTTAGGTTACAGGGAAAAAACAAATTTTCAAAAATAGGCTTGTGATCACGATATCTTTGAAGGTTTAAAGCAAATCAGTCATATAGAAGTATAATATAAAAGGGTGTTATTTTATATCATTATTTGTAAGTGCTTAGGAGGTCTGTTGCATTATAAGAAGGCCACCTCTTTCTATAAAACAAAGAGAAAAAAATCTGGTACTTGACTTTACAAAAGGTTATTAATGATTTACTGCCAAAAAGTGCTGACTGCTTCCTTAAAACCAACTTAACTTGAAGGTTCTATTTGGGATAGACCGCATTTAATAGTGTTAGCTCACAGCACATATAGTTCACATAGTAAATTAATTATGGTTCATCATCATATCTAGATTTATCTTTTTGGAGGAAACAATAGGTTGCCTGCTACATTAAGACTGAATTTAGGCCCTGAAAGTAATTTTAACATGGTGAAAGGAAAATTTTTGTTGCTGCTTCAATGATCATATTTTTAAAAAATGTTTGTTACTTCTTTGAAGTATGTAGGCAGAACATTATCTTTATGTTTCATTTTTCAGACAGTCCTTTGCTTAGGAAAAACTATGTGCATCTTAAAAAAGAAAGACCATAACCCAGAGTTACAAGTTAATTAAACCAGAAAAACAATTTAATTTTGTAACAGTAAAATTGTCTTCTGAGGAAGCAACCCTCAGTATAATATCCACATTAGTTTCCTGTTGATGCAGAAATTATTGTAACAGTGCCAGCTTTTTACAAACCCTCTCATAATCTTCACACTGCAGCTCTGCTCTTATCACAACTTGTGAAATTAGACAGGAAATTTAGCCTTGGAAATAAGGAAGTTTTTCCTATATAGCTAAATCTTTGACAGTGTTAGAATATATATTACTCTTGTCACATTAGATTTCCAGATTTCAAAGAGAGATGCCCCTGGTGTCCCATTTTTCTTTTTTAGGTTCTCCTAGGAAAATAAAATTATAAATTATCATTTAGCTGGCATATTTATTGTTATAATAAACATTTACATATTTTCTAATTAAATAATATAGAGTAAAACCCATTACAGGATTAAACATTTTATGAATGTATTTATTACTGTGTAAGTTTTCCTAAATTTTTTTATCAATTACAGCTTTATCTCAATAAAATGCACGTTGGTGAGATTTGAAATGGCATTTTTTCTTATCTTTTTGAAAAAGTATATAATTGTTTTCAAATATGAGCAATAGTTGATATTTTTCTTTTGTGTTTTTAGCTTACAAATTTGGAGAGGAAGTGGCAACACCACGAGCAAAATAATTTTGTGATGAAAGAATGTATCCTTTAAGATGGTGAAATGAGTTTGACTGAGATATTTTTTTCCTAGGAATTTTTTAGAATATGTTTTTTTAAATTTTTATGAACAACTTATCTATTACAAAGATAGTTTACCCAGCTAAATCATAAAACCATCAACTCAAGATATCCAAATTATGTTTTATTAATAAAACAAGTAAAAACTGATTAATCTTCACGTAGAACTATAAATGAAGCTGAAAAACAAGGTCTTTGTTTTTTTTTGATACTGGGGATCAAATTCAGAACCTTGTGAGTCAGGTGCCCCACCACTGAGCTAAACCCGAGGCCCAGCAAGTTCTGTTTCTAAAACAAAATGTATCAAATGTGAGGCTTTGGGTTTATGTCTAATTATCTAGGATTATCACATTTCTTTTCATGTATATAATGGAAAGCCTGGAAGCCAAGGCTTTGGCATTCATAGAGATTACCTGTAATAATCCTGTTTACTTAAAACACACCCACTTGCATACATTTAGTAAATGAGAGTCTACATTATTTTCTAGGAATTTCTTTAAAAACTCAAAATGTAATTCAGCACATTTTTATCAAGTACTTAATATGTACAAAAAAAAACTTAGCTAACAATGTGAGATACAAATACTTAGGTTTCATTGTGCAGTTGTAGGGTGTGTGTGTATACTTGTACCCCACAGTAACTAGTAGCAAACAGGCTTTGAGAGTTGCCAGAAATAGGAGTATAAAGTCATAGTGACGAATAGGTTTTGGAATTGGGAGATTTAATTTTAAATGTTGACTCTACCACTTAAAAACTTTTGGAGTTTGAGCAGCTTAATCTGTTTAAAACTCAATTTTATCATGTTTAAAGTAGTATTTCCATCATAATTTTCTGAAGAAAAAATATATATCTATAGTTATATTTCACATTCACAATTTGCTTAAAGTCTAGTACTTCTTTCTTTTTTTTTTTTTGATACCGGGGTTTGAACTCAGGTCCTTGCGCTTACAAGGCAGGTGGAAGAACCAGTCAGCTAAATCCCCGGCCCCTAAAGTCTAGTATTTCTAGTTCCATGCAACACAAAGGATATAATCTTAAAAAAGAGAGAGGCCTAGAAACTAGCCTGAAATTCTGTGTGCTACAGTATTTTATGGTTTCACAACATGGTTCTAATCCCAGAATTAGATTAAATATGTAATGTATTACAGATTAAAAAGTAAATTTATTGCAAATAAATTTTTGAAACAACTTTTGCTTGGCTTTTTAGGTTTTAATTTATGTTTAATCTGTTAAAGTAATATGCTGTATTTTTAAAGTATTCTAGTTGTGCTTTTTCTGTACTACCTTGCATTCATTAGAAAATATCAGTATGATTTAATTTCTTTCTGAGTTACAATTAGGATAATGTTTTCATTGACAGTGTTCTCCCTTAACTCATGTAACAGTCATAGCAACCAAGAGTCAGGAAAGTGATTACCAGCAAATCATTAGAAATGTGACCAAGCAGATTGCGGAGTACAATAGAACCATCGTGGATGCTCTCCGTAACAGCAGCAGGAATGGAGTCTGAATCAACCGATAGTTTCTGTAGAAGTTATCTTCTTGATGTTAAACTTTGTACAAGATGACTGAAAAATTAAAATATCTTACCTTTTAAGAGTTATATCTAAATTTTCTGAGTGCTATAATTTTTGTGCCTCTTTAAAGTGTGACATTTTAAATAGTTTAATAGGTCATAAAGAATTCTCACATGAAAAAGTGTCATCTCCTTTCATGTGATTCTTGTATTTGTTTTGTGGATATTAAAAGTATCAGAGAGAACCAAGAGCTTTAAAAAATGACCATGGAGATTCACTTAGCTTTGTAATTCGACAGTGGTAGCAAATAAGGTTGCTTTTTCATGGTCAACATTCTAGATATGATTCTGATTTAGTTACTTAGATCAGTCTTGTTGGTTTTTCTTAGAAGGGAGATTTTTAGCACTTAGCCTTCTCAGCCTTAGATGTCTATTTTTTTTCCCCCTCATTGAGTTTACTGGTACATTTTGGGTATACACTACAGTTACATTCATCATTGGGATCTTGTGCCTTTACATGACAGGTCTTGGTTCTCATTTGTCCCCATACCCCTGTCCTCCCTTCACCCCCTCGTCCCCTCCCCCCCTCCCCATTTACAAACACTTTATTTCCATTTTTTCATTTTCTCCTATTTTTTTCTTTTCCCCTATTAACTTTTCCCCTACCCTTCCCACTTTGCCTACACCTTTAGCCCTTTTCTTTCTATTTCACATTGTCAGTTATCTCATTAGGATCTTGTGTACTATTATAGTTTTTCACACCAGAAAAACTATTTGGTATTTACACCTGTGACTTATTTATTTCACTTAGGAGTATATCCTTAATATGTATCCATTTCCCTATGAATGAATCTAATTCCTCATTCCTTATGGCTGAGTAGTATTCCATTTTATAGAAAAACCACATCTTCTTTATCCAGTTTCCAACTGATGGGCAAGTTTTAGCTATTATAAACTGTGCCGCTATAAACATAGGTGCGCATACATCACTGTGATATGATTCTTTTAGATATCTGTTATTCAGCATGTAAAGTCAAAAGCAAAGGTACAACATGTTCTGTATGTATTAGCCTGAAGATCTAGAATTAAAAGCTCTAGTCTTTATATTCATAAAATATTTGCTTACATATATATGTCAAGAAAAAGAGGACACTTAGAAATGCTGCACATGTGGTGTGAGCTCTTTTAGAGTATGGCTGCTGCTCTTTATTTCTACTCTGGAGAGTGCTTTTGCTTCTTGTATTTTTAGGACCTAAGATGGTCGTAGCATTAGCTGATACAGTTGAAAAGAAAGGCTAAAGAGTTAGAATCATATCATATTCCAATAGCACACTTCAGGGGAGAGGGGCACAGAGTCTGGGGGGCATAGTAATGACAAACATATCTTCTTTTGTGAGACAGGAGTGAGTCACTTTGGGCCCCGTCAAACAGTCTTTTGCCACTTAACACTTAACCCCGAGTGTCTCTCGGCCAGCGCCTTTGCTTCTGTACTGACCCAAAGTCTACTCGGGCAGGCATCATTTCACCCAGTTGACTCTTGCATTGAATAAACTTGGTAAAATGTTTATAATTTTTTTATATTTCCTGCTATATATTATCTTACAAAAATGAGTGAAAAATGCAAATTTTGTTTATCTCGTATTTAAATAATTGGATTGGTAAGTGATTTAAATCCATCCTCCTTTTGTTCAGATAACGTGTTCACCAAATAACTACTTCTCAGTATTCCTGAAACACAAGCATATTTCTTTTAAAAAGAAAATAAAACAATAAAAATGATTGATATATCATTTACATATTATAAACTTCATTCAAACATGCTGATTGTATAAATATTTGTCCCTATAAATTGGTCAACTTTAGTCTATAAGTTTAGGTTAAGGAGTGAATCTTGTTCAGTGTGGTTATCTGTAGGTTGCTGATAGAGCTAAAAATCATAGAGAATGATACGTTCATTAAGGTAGCATTCATAAAATGTGTTTCTCAGATCCTGAGTTCCTTTGATTATTAGTACCTATCAAGAATTCATGGTCCGAGAAGTTTGGGAAACACTGTTTGAAACAAAGGTGAATTGTTTCCTTTTTCCTGAATGGTTAGAGCCCTTAATGTGCTAATATATAATAAACTCAGGAAGAGTATATACCATGAAGCGTTTCTCAGATATATTTGTCCACAGAACAGAAGCTGAGTCACACGAGACTTTTTAGTTCAAGAAATAATAGACTTTATATAGCAAAAAGATTGTATCAGTAAAATAATTTTCTCTCCTCGAGTCCTTTGAATGGCCTTTTGGCTGTATCCAGGTGACTCCTAATAAGTATGCCTTTTTTGGGGTCACTGGGGCTTGAACTCAGGATTTTAGGCCTACGAAGCAGATGGCGGAACCACTGAGCTAAATACCTGGCCCCTACATATGCCTTTCGTAGCCACCATAGATTTATTGCTGTGGTTGTATGGACTTTTCCGTTAGAAATTGGTAGCAGAAAATGTTTACCAAATCTAAATTACACAAGAAAATACTCTTGTAGGAGTTCCTAAAAATGAAATTGGAAATTCAGTAGAAGCAACAAGTGATGAATTTTGATGACAATTTGCCAAATCCATCATTTATTCACTAAGTATTGGTGTAATTTAGTGACTAGGCACCTTTACTGTAATATGCCTGATTTTTCTTCTCCTATCCAGTAACAACCACAGGTATGAGAAAGCTCATGGCTTAGTCCAGACAGTGAGCTCCCACAGTCACTCAGTCACTCACTTTTGTAGAACGACCATGGAGGACAGGAATCTGGGAGACCTGTTAATTGATTGGTAATCTTTATTTTCCTCATTTCACAGCAAATTCAAAAGCTTTTCTTTTTGTAAAGTTTATCTGTACTTAAATGTTCTTTACCTTTTACTGTACCCTTTCATACTAATTACCAATTTTTACTATTAATAATAAAGATTTTTTTTCCTGAGTGATGGGATCGTGGGGTGATTTTAATCTTTCTCGGATTTTATTTTCAAGATTGTCTGTGATATACTTAAAATGTGTGCTTAATACTTTAATTTGTGTAAGGATATGTGGTGGTGCTAGTTTGGAGATAGTTTGTCCCCTAAGGGCTTGCTGTGTTGAATTTAGCCCCCATGGTAAAGCATGATGAGGATGGAAACTTAGTCCAACTGTGGTGTTAAGATGAGGCTGTGGGGATGTGATTAGGATAGATTAAGTCTGTAGGGTGGAGGCCCCGTGACTTAATCCTGGTAGTGTTATGTGGAGAAAAAGACAGACAACAGGCATGCACGCTCCCTGTATTTTGCCATGTGGTGCTCAGTGTGATCATGGGATTCTGCCAGCTGAAGGCCACTGCCCGATGAGGCCTCTAGATTCTGCACCCTCTGAACCATGAGCCTAAATAAACCTCTTTGTTTGTCTGAGACAGAGTCTGGAGCTGACCCCAAATTCCCAGCAGTGCTGCTGCCTCGGCCTCCTCAGTGCTCCATGGGCTGCCCTGCCCACCAGATCCATATTCTACCATTAGTTTACTATACATCCTTGAAAAGATACTTAGTTTTGTTTTTATTTTTAATTTCAGCATCTTCATCTTTAAAGTGGAATAATAGTGTTTAACTCGTAAGATTGGTGTTGCAGAATCCAAGGTTGCTGACATAAATTGTGCTCAGAAGGGTGGTACCATTAGCAGTGTGTTGCATGGAGGGGCTTCTCCCCTTTTAAATAAAGTAGCCTGCCTCTGGTATTTCATTAAAGTAGTAACAGAGCTGACTAATATAGGTAATAGAACAACTCTCAGTCATTGGGTCAACTAGAACTGAACCAATCTTTAACCAGAAAGACTGACATATACATGTGTGTGTGTGTGTGTGTGTGTATATATATATAT